ATCTGCGAGATTTTAAGTCTGAAATGGAAGCTGGAAGAAATGAGTAATAAAGCACTTACCAAATAGAGCAGAAGTAGGATGCAGAAAACACGGGATACCGGTGCGAACGTTCACGTATTCGCCAATCCCTTTCAACCTAGAGAAATAAACACACACTACTGCAATCAGAAAAAATCACAAAAATATACTGGAATCCAAATTAAACCAAAAAAAAAATGATCAAAAACCTAGCCGCATTCTGGAAATAAGCAGAACAAATGCACTTCCTTATCACATCCCAGTCTGTGCCACAAGAAATTATTTCAACTTTTTGCTCCTCCATAATGTCTTTCAGCTGGGCTCGAACCTTAACGAAAAACAGTTATATCATTTACCAATAAAAGTAAAGAAACAAAAAATTACTATATCGAGATGAATAAAAAATAATAATAATGTGTGATAGAAGCCCTTCAAAAACCAAACCTCTCTAACTTTCCTCATAGCCTTTGCGTGAATAAAATTATCATTGCACCACTTAGTGGAATATTTGTGAAGACGCCACTGCAGATAAACGTTCAAAAATGACAAGTGGTCACTTTCGGGAACCTAAAATAAATTAAGAAATCAGGGTATAGCATATCCAAATAATTTTTTCTCAATAAACTTAACATGTACATAAAAATTTGACATGTGTATATATATATAATTGTAAATATGAATATGAATATAAATGTGAATATATATATATATATATAAAGTTAGAAGAAAACAGTAAGCTTGTGAACAACTTACTTGGAATTTTTCCTTCTTAGCATCTGCATCTTCTTCTCTGCCTTTAGGCCTGAAGAAAATAGCCGGTACCGAAAGCATGGAAACTACAGTTAAAATTTCGTCACTGCAACGCATTCCCTCAGAAACAATTAACATCTTAGACAAAGTTGGATCAAGCGGAAACTCGACCATTTTCCTTCCTAGATCTGTAAGCCTGCCTATAAAATGCAGGCTTCAGTTTTCGGTCATCAAATGGAAGAGAAAAAAGCCAGAACAAGAAAGGAACAGAGAAGAACCTGTGTTATCTAGCGCGCCTAGCGTCCAAAGTTGATACATGCTATTTAACATGTTGTCCTGAGGAGGAGCATCCATAAAATGAAACTTGAGCAGGTCGTCAACACCCAACGATTTCAACAATAATACCACATTAGCCAAATTTGTACGTTGAATTTCGGGAACTGTAGCAGAAAGCATCTCTTCCTTAAAAGTAAGAACAGTAGAATAAAAAAAGAAAACCAAAGACAGGATCCCACAGTACATTAAAAAGTTGAGGTCAAATTACCACTATAATTTATTTCACTACTATAAGAATGGAATTTCAGGCGAGAACCTTATACTGCCTCTCCGTATAAAGACGAAAACATTGGCCTGGTCCGGTTCGTCCCGCTCTACCTTTCCTTTGATTAGCTGATGCTTGAGATATAGGAAATACCTTTAAAAAGTCGAGTGAAAAGCAAAATAAAGATTTCTGGCAATTAGAAGAACAAGGGTATGATATTGATATTAATGTAAAAATAAAACTACCTGAAGCGCATCCATACCGATTCGAGGATTGAAAACTTTCAACTTGCAGTAACCAGGATCTATGACAAATAAAATGCCATCCACAGTCAGAGATGTTTCGGCGATGTTAGTTGCCACTATACATTTACGAATCCCTCCAGGCGCCTTTTGGAATATTTTGGCTTGAAGATCGCTTGGAAGCTGTGAATAAATAGGAAGTACAGCTAGTGGAGGTGCCTCGTCCAATTCTTCCAACTGGCTTTTTATTAATGCGCAAGTAACCTACAAAGTAGTTTCGAATGACTAATGAAAGTATGTAGAAATAGTAAAGCGTTGCCTCAAATTTACAATATTTTGCGTGTGATTAGCTAAGGTTCCGGCTTAAGCGATGCTTGTACTGCTCTAAAAGCTCAACCAGCAGCTAAATTGCCAATTATATGCCAGTTTTTTTGAAGATTTATTTCAACACAAGAATTTAAATTTGCAAAAAAAGACCTCAATGTCCTCCTGACCAGGCATAAATATCAAAATATCACCCTCATTGCCGCCAAGATGAACTTTAACTGCTTGCTTTACTGCAGCATCCACGTAATCTTCCATTGGAATTCGAGAGTGGAAAACATCAACAGGGAAGGTTCTTCCTAGAAATAGATCTTGCTTGAAATAACATCAAATCGCGCCAAATAAATCAAAAGTAATAAAATTTGCAGTAAAGCAATAACAGACCAGGGATATTGAAACAAGGAGTATGACCACCAAAAAAGTTAGCAAATTTTTCGGCGTCCATAGTGGCTGAGGTAACAATGAGTTTAAGATCTGAACGTCTTGCAACAACATCACGTAAGAGGCCAAATAATACATCAGTATTTAACGATCTAAAACATCATACTTCTTGAACATTTTTGAATAAAAAAAAAAACACCACCAAAAAAGAAAGCTTAGATAACTACCGCTCGTGAGCTTCATCCATAATTATAGCAGAATACTGATCCAAATCGCTATCACCCAGACATTCTCTTAACAATATACCATCTGTCATGTATTTGATACGAGTATTCTCAGAAGTACAATCTTCAAACCGGATAGCGTAACCACATTCCTGGCCTAATTCAATCCCCATTTCGTCTGAAACTCGTTTTGCCACCGACATCGCAGCTACTCTCCTTGGTTGAGTACAACCTATTAAACCAAACTTGCCTAAAATGAAGAATAAAACGTGACGTTCTGTGAAGATTCACTTCTTAATGAAAAACTATTCTGCAAAGAACATTAACATACTATATCCTTCTTCATAAAGATATTGCGTGAGCTGAGTTGTCTTCCCACTACCGGTTTCTCCAACTACTATCACAACGTTATTGTCACGGATAACATTTAGCAAAGCCTGCCTAACAGCAAAAACAGGCAAGTACTCCCGTTGCTCTTTTATAGTTTTTTCTAAAGCAAACTCGGAGACAGCCTCTGTCTCATTCATATGCGAAGCGAACTGCTGTGATTCCCTGTAAAAAGCTTTTCGAATTGGTAAAAGATTTTAATAAAAAATTTAAAAACCTAGAAGACTCCTCATTATGATCACGTAAGTGAAGAAAGCAGAGTTACGAAGGAACAACCTGCCTCATATTGGCAAAAGACTGTTACCGCCACAGCTGGATTGTCTTTCAAGTTTTCAGCAAGCATTCAACAAAATAAAAGGTAATTACAACTTGTTCAAAACGCTGTCAGGCTAGGTAGAAACGACAAATCTCCATCAAAATAAGTTTAATCAAAAAAGCTAAAAAGATTCGAAAAAAGACCTAATGTGATTTTAAATTCAGCTGAATCTGCATCAAAGCGCTAAGAACCAGTTCATAAAACAAAATGAAGAATAAAGCGGTTCATTCTCACTTATTTATATGTAATCCTTCTGAGTTTTCCTTTCACGTAAGCAGAGGTACTCAGTTTGATCTCAAAATGCTCATTAATTCTACTCAGAGTATATATAAGATGGTAGCTGCTTTTTACTTCATTTTTAAGCTTGTCCATTTCAGCAGTAAGGTCATAATGGAAAAGTACTTGAATTTTTTAAACGTCTTTTTTATAGACAAAACATCTGAGTATCGATGAACCACCACCTGTAATTAGCTCCATGATCGTCCGCTCCAACATCGACTTCCTCAGGCTTTGCTTTAATCCCCATTATATTTCCGAGGCTAGATCCAGCTAGTTCCCAGTGTTTCTCTTGCGCTTTCTTTCTTTCTTCCGACTCCCGCCAAAGCCGGACAACCTAAGGAATGTTTAAAATAACACAGATAAAATAAGTAGTATTCAAAACGACCAGTGAATAACTAAAGATAACAACTACCTTGCTGCCCTGAGCTGCAGTAACAGCAAGATCCGAAGTTGGATCCTTGACAGGGACTATGGGTTTGCTTTGTTTTGTAAAGACAAATCTGCCATCCAAGAACGGCGGCACTACATTTTCGACAATCAAAGTAACTCGATTTTCATCTGTTTCGTCATCAAAAAATTCATCCTGATCATCCGCAATAAATACCGCTCCTAAAAGAGTACCCTTCAAATACGTACAATCAAATCATTTTTTTCTTATTCAAGAAAAAAATTAATCTAAACAATAAAGCAAAAAATAAAAATGATCTGGTTTCAAAAATGAACAATGAATATTGCACCAACCTGATCTTGCAAGACGATTGTTTTCCCAAAGCTCATTTTCCTTCTTTATTTGTTGTTGACGAACTGTTAAACGCGGTTTTTCGCGTTTTTGCAACCACTGTTTTTCCTTCTTCTCAATATATTCTTGCGAAACCTGAACAGGTTATTGAACTGTACATGCAAGAAATGACAAACTAGAAGCAAACAAGATAGTCCTTTGAAAATTGGAAGATAAACATAACTGCTAATCATAGAAAAATTATTAATGATTTCTAAATCAAACTTTTAAATCAAAGATAACAGATGATTTTTCCAGTCAGAAGACCAATACTAAAGAAAATAAGATCACCTGAGCAAATGGATTATTTTCTTCATCATAACCCTGATCATTATCGTACCATTCTCGATCTAATTTCTGAAGATCTTTTTCCCAGTCCATTCTTTCCCAGTCATTTTTAAACTCAGGTATTAAATCCCCTTCTTCCTTTACTGAACGTACCGTATCATCCCGGCGACTAAAAAGAACTCAAAACGTAGTGAGTTGCGACTGGAAGGTTCGAAACAGTCACTGCAATTATACGAGGAAATAAATAAATAATATAACGAGGAAGGAAAATGCCTGTGTCTTACTTGTGCCGCCTCTGCTCTCGGTTCCTCCGTTCACGATCTCGCTCACTTCTCCAAACACTTGACAAATTTCGCTCTGTCCCAACGTCACTTCTGGATGACCCGGGAGTAGGCAAGTCCCAACTAGACTTTTGCTTACGTGTAGACCTCCGTCCGTCCTCATCATCCCATGAAGATCGCGAAGGGGTATTTGGAACCTGCAAATACAGATTGGATACCTACGTCTTCCCATTAACAAGAAAAAAACAATATCATCATAGAGAAGTCACAAAGATCAGATAGAAAAAGTCCATTCTAAACAGTGCCTTGAATGAAGGAGTTTTCATGCGTTCGTATTTCTCCTGCCTATCCCTGCCTTTACCGTTATTCCCGTGGCTGCTCAAGCCGTGTTTCCGAGAGTGTTCCCTCCTATGTTTTCTGTCATCTTTCTCAGGTCCCGAGTGCTCTCTCTTTCTTTTTTCACTTTTCCTCGAATCCGCATGCAATCCGCGGCGATCAACTTTATATTTTTCCACAACGTAACTGTAATTTTAATATAAAAATGCGATCAGGAAACAATTGCACAGTAAAACTTATCATAAAAGGAAACCAGAAGCAGCAAACACCGTGAAAAAACCCTATATCTCGAAAAACACCTTGCGATATTCCTTCGAGTACTTTCTGAAAGTCCACCAGGAGACTCTTCTTCCAAAGCTCTCTTCCGCACGTAACTTTCTCTTTTCAAATGAGCTAAACGATCGAGTCCCAAAAGTGAACGGCCCGGATGCTTGAACAATTTATCATCGTCGTTTGGTTTTTTGCGAATTTCCAGCCCACCAACTGTACTCACACAGCCTTCTAGGCGATCAATAACTTCCTCACCGTCATTTAACATCTGAATTTTAAAAAATGAACAAGAGTTCTGAAATTAACCTTAACAACAATGGCGTTCGTAACGCAAGCCATAAATATCCATTTACCATCTACAAAAGTTTCAAACACAAATAGAAGATAAGATCAAAGCTTTTGAACACCTCTATGCAGCAGCAAACAGTACCAGAACTTGAATGTTGTGTACAATTTTAAAATGAAAAAATACAAATTTGAGGTGATCAACAAACAAATACTGAAAAGTTACACCAGTTTACAACCTATTACAAGATATGTAAAAAAAAAAAAAAGAGAGAGCAAATGCGGTAAATCAGAGGACCGCAGTTTCTCAGAAATTTTTACCACTATAGAAAAACTTAAGTATGACCGAATTGCAACAAATTTGCTGACCATTCGTATTATGTACCGCATGATTGCTACGGGAACCCTGAACCAAGAGAAGCATTGGAAAAGTATGGGTATATATTGTGCTGCAGAAACTGCAAATTATCAACTATGGAATATGGCAGTTTGCCAATTTTTACATTCACATTTTCAGGGCGACCGCCGATAAATTCTATTTCAAGTGGCCGACCTTCAGCGCCACAACCTGTAAATTTCACAGGTAACCCTGACTTACATCCATGCCTGAGCTGTGGTGGAAGAAACAGACGACAAAATTGTAAATTTCGCCAGGCTGAATGCCATAAGTGTCAAAAAAAAGGTCATCTCGCTACAGTTTGCAGAAGCAAAAACGTTAGAAGTTCTCCAGTCGGCAACGCACGTAACACAGCCAGTGGAAACTTACACACACGGACAAGAGATCAACTGAGCATGGCAAGTTCTGACCACTCTCGGTTTCATGATGTGTTTACGAAGACTCCTGCTGGTATTTCAAGAAATGAAAGTGATCAATTCATTCTCAAATGCGTTTTTGAGTCATACATATTATACCACGATGATGAAGGGCTTGATGAAGCTGCAGCACTTATAAATGAAGCAGCAGGCGAGGAGGAGCTGGATCCCACAGTTTTACCTTATGAGCTTGAAGAAATTGTTGGGAACATCAAAATGGAAGGAGACAAGCTATCAGACAACATGAAAAGGCAAAACATCAATTTGTGGATTGCAGCTATGGGAACAGGAATTGAACCCACACTTTAACCACC